ATTGTTTGCAATGAGAGATGTGAATACTAATAAATTTTTAAAACAAATGTAGATATGTGAATAAACTTCTGCATGTGATGTTTTGACACAATATTGGCTTCCGATAGACAAATCCTGACAAATTCACGATGGCTACATGTATCTGTCTCGTCCGATTTTCTATAATCATTCAAACCCAACAATGTCCGCTTCTCTCCGTGTATGTATATCGCGCGTCTGGGGCACAACTCAGTTTAATATTTAACAGCGCCGTGTCTAGTTTTAAGACCATCTGTATTTGGTTTTTGGAATATCGGAGTGGAGCGGAGCTGAGCTGAGCTGAGGTATTTGTAAAATTATTAAAGTCTATCGTATATCGCTGACTTGACATGCAAGCACTTTGATTCTGAAACAGGCGTGAGTATTGCAGGCTTAAGCGCAATTATACTCTGTCGTATGAATATAGTACATGACTTCTAAGCATCTTAAACACTGGCTAACTTTGCTTAAGACAGGTCGGTCATTACCACACACAGACAAGCTACCATTAATTCATAATACATACGTCTGGTTAGAATCCACGCAACAGCGAACACTATTCCCGCGATTGCAAGGAATATCAGCAGACCCACAAGCAATCGGAGACGATATTTCCCGCAAAACTTGCCAAGCTTGAATCCAACTTGGTCATCAACTAAAGCCTCAGTATCGTCTGCAGTTGGGCTGACTAATACAGGCATTTTGAGTATTGTCTGCCTCAGTATCGTGGAAGAGAAGATGGATAGCCAGTGAGGAGTTCTTTCCAGCTGCAGCTCGAGGTGTAAGCGGAAATTCACGCGATTTTCCCAGAAACCCTACCCTGCTAGCAGCGTCGCTTCGATCTTTCCTAGATAAGTCGGGAAAGAGGAAGATCGAACTTATCTATCGTATCTATCTTATCAAACTTAGGACTTATCTTGGAAGATCGAAGGAGACTCTGTTCGCAGGGTACAGAAACCCAGGAACCGCCGGGTGTGCTTTCTTGGTAACGAGGCTAACAAACGGGAAATATCTGTCAAAAAACACCTGAAAACATGGATAACCAAAACAATCTAAACAATTTGCTGAAAAAATACTACTCAAGTTAAACTAAGAATTACGAAATCGGCCCATTCCCCCGGGCATTTGTCGGGCATTAGCCTGCGAGCAAGCTCTCCGGGGCGTTCTGGCGGCCTTTTCCTCCCTGCCGCCAGAGCGTCCCGGAAAGCTTGCTTGGGCCCGCCCCGCCCGATCACAGTTGTGTGGGGACTGGGGACTCAAGTCCCAAGTCCCCACACACGCGTCCCAATGTCCCCTTTCCCTCGTCCCAGTCCCAAACGGGTCAATGCAACGAAACAAAGTTTTTGACCACTCCACGGTTATCAACAAAAGATCGCGATCTTCTTTTGTCCACAGAAGAACATTGTATGAATCATTTCCGAAGAAAATCAATTATTGATAAGTTACTAGAAGTATAAATGGAAATTATAACATCTCAAATCTCTTGACTCGTTGTGGACGCCTTAATTATTATACCAACAAAAAAATGAAACTGTCTCCTCTTTAAATAATAAAAATTCATACCGCAGATTTTTTCCATTATACTCACGTTTCTTAGCAATACTCAAAAGCGAATCAATTAAACCGCAGCGCTCTTCTAAAAAGAAGTATTTCCTTCAAACACGGCACTGGAGGGCAAATACAAGGTATAGGATTTTCAACAACGACTACCGAATTACCACTTCTTAGTCAAGAAGGCTGCAAAGAAAAACGTAAGCACTGCAGTTTATCATTCTTGTATCTAGACGAAATTATAATTCTCGTGTAAAGTGGCTGTATTATCTGCAAATATTATTTCCAGCTGACGGCTAGAATAGTTTATAAATAAGGCCAAATTTCTATTCAGCTTTATAGACAAAATAAAGCAGATACAAAGTCATGATCGGATCAGAGGAGATTTAAGGATTGGAAGGAACAACTATTACACGCTGGTATGTACTGCCATAAATGATTTCTCTTAAATTTGACTTTCGCGTAATTTATAAGTCACACCGAGTCGCTCTTTAGATGACACGAGGCTATAAGATAGCGAAGTACATGATTTTGTCTATATACTGTGCACTAAGAGAAACAAACTGCGCACTTTGAGTGTGGCTATACAGTTGGAAAATAACCCATACCGGATTTCTCTCAAGGTTATCATCACTCCATGCGATGATTATTCTTAAGAATCGTGTTCCAGTGAAATTCCAATTGCCGAGACCGGAGGTGACATTGCACTACCGCTCAAGAATAGAGCACTAGACAGGGTAAAACATTTTAAAAATTTATACTGGAAAGCCATTCAGTGTAATCTAAATCAACGAACGTAGCTCCTCGTCTAAGTTCGTGACATGCAAGTTTCCAACACATTTTCGGGATAAGTTTAAGTTTCTTAAGTGTAAAGTATAAATTAATCAGCAAATTGTCGATCAATACTGTAGCATTGACCCATGAAGGCGAATCAATAAGGATATTTTATATATGTCATATTTGAAACTAGCCTTTTGGTAACATCGCTACAACATGCACGTCAGTTCATTCTCTAGAAACATGCCCCGAGCCAACATTTCAACTTATTTTAAAAACATGGAAATAAGCTAAACACGCGCCCACTGGGTTTTTATGTCATCAGAGAAACCAATGAAAGCCCCAAAAAAGTGGGGAAGGCAGCCTTTGGTGGGAGTGGTGCGCCTGGATATCAGTTTTTCTTTTAGGGTAAGAGGATTCATCCTTTAAAATCTCTTGTCCCCGACCCCTATAAAAAAGGGAAGAAAATTTGGTTAGTAACCTGGGTGTGACGAGTACAAGTGTGTTGATCGATGGTTCAGATGACTAACTATTTGGTCACTTCTCTAAAAACAAATGTGTTACCTCTTTGCTCGACATTAAAGTGACAACTATAAACAAATGACAAGTGGCAAAGAATTTTCTTTTTCAATTATTTTTTACCCCAAAGGGTATTTCGCCAGCGATATTATCAACTGCATTATTAAAACTCTCTCTAAAGAAGTTTATTGTACTTCAGAACGAAAATATGCACAATTGTTATTGATTTATTTATCATTTTTCCGTCATCAGTTCAGTTACAAAAAAGAAGTTTGGAGGTGGAAAAGAATGACTACCTGCTTCTTTGTGCTGTTCTTTGTGGCAAACATTTGTCAGTCTTGCTCCGCTTTCGAAGGTAAGCCAAAGAACTTCCACACCCGCTTCAAATCATTTATAGGAGCTGTTACACGAAACACTTCTAACGTGATCAATTTGGAGCGGTTCGTCTTCCCGAACTTTCCTGAGAAACATTATCCAAAAAAGAGCAAAGAAAACGCTATGACAATTGACGAGGTAAATAGTCAACAAGAAACCGCAGAGAAAATTGTTCGTTTTTAGCATGTAACCTTTGCGTTTTTTCGGGAACGACCGATGTTACTAAGGCAGATTTTTATTTTACGATCAAATTCACACTTGGTAATGTGAGTGAGTCTCGTCATAACCAGTCAGTCTTGTGCAAATATATTCCTAATCTTTAACTTTTTTTTTCCAAATGTTTTCTTAGCTTGTTCGCCAGACAGTCTAATAAGTTGCCGCTGAAACTTCTTCCTTTAGCAAGATGAGCAATAATCGAGCTGTTTCTGTCTTTGAATATACTTCAACGTAACATTTTTCAAATATTATCATACACCGTTTAAAAAACGAGCGGGAGTATACTGTCGCCAAGAGTTTTTTTACACCTGATTTTTAAGAAAAAAAGAAAGAAAATTATTTCAATAAAAGGATCAATGCTATTGAAAAGAAACACCGAAAAAACCGTCCTCTTCCCCCTGCCATAAATAACGTACAGTCTCTTAAAGTTCAGTTTAAAGGATTCTGAGTAATATTGACCGGATTATCATATGTTGGTTATGAAGTCATTTGCCTTCGTTTTACGTACTACAGAAATATCCACGAGTACCTCCACCTCTACCGGTGTCTCCACAAGCTCGTCACTCAGCGCTTCGACGTCGACAAGTGTAAGCACCTCCACATCGACACCTTCGCTGAGTAGCAGTTCTACGAGTACAGAGAGCGGCTCCAGATCAATTTCAACGTCACTCAGCGCTTCGACCTCCACAAGTGTAAGCACCTCCACATCAACACCTTCGCTGAGTAGCAGTTCTACGAGTACAGAGAGCGGCTCCAGATCAATTTCAACGTCACTCAGCGTTTCGACCTCCACAAGTGTAAGCACCTCCACATCAACACCTTCGCTGAGTAGCAGTTCTACGAGTACAGAGAGCAGCTCCAGATCAACTTCACATTCGTCTAGCAGCAGCAGCAGTGTTAGTTTGGTTTGGATCAGCTCTTCTACCAGTGTGTCGAGCACATACGAGGACCTCGTGGTCGACGTCGAAACCGAAACTCTCTCTAGTAGCAGCTCCAGATCGGTTTCAGATTCGTCCTCCAGCAGTAGTAGTAGCAGTTTGGATTGGGACGAGTGGAATGCAACACCCATCTCTTCGACAATTGCCTCTAGCTCTTCCGCGGACATCGACGTCGACATTCTTATTACTTGGATAGCCTGGGAATATGAACGCGGTCTTCTCCGACGGAAAAAGCGTGAAGCAGGAATAGCGAGCCTGCTGGAGAAGAAGATCGTGTCTTACAACAAAAAACGTTAAAAGGAGGTATTGATCCTTTTTGGTGACGCGTAGTCTAGCAAATGGTTGCATTAAACCAGCTTTCACATTAAAGATACAAATAGTTTACAAGTTCCAAACGCAACAAAGTTCCTTTTACTAACTTGACCCTATAGGAGAGAAGAGGTATACCATCTTATTTAGAAACTTTCAATATCTTATTTCAATATGAATTTTTGGAGAAATACGAGCAACGTTGCCATCTGGCAAATCTAACGCCGGAGTTCTCCTTGTAAAAGCTTAGTTGTCGGGCAACGTTTCCGAGTATTTTGTTGACAACATTGTTGCATTACAAGTTGAGATTTTTTCTTTCTTTTTTTTTTTTTTGGCGCGTTTTCACATTCTAGCTCGCGCAACTACAACATAAAAATTTGGCAGTGGTCGTACACTGTAGGTGTTTATTTGGGTAAACAACACCAGTATCCATTACAGATAGTTTCTTCTGAAGCATCGCCTAACCAAATAAGCTTTATATGAGATCTGGAAAACATTCATTTTTATTTGAAAACTTTAAAAATCTTTATCTAGCTGTACAATCAATCATAACTATTTAGCCACCGAGGAGAGTTGATCTCTGATTTTACCAAGTCCATCTAACATGGTGTCCAGCTTTTCTTTTGTTAGCTCTACGTTCAGGCGGCGTACCGCAGGCATGGCGTTCTGCTCCCTAGCGTTTTCTTGAACCTTGAAAACAATCGGAAACAAGAATAAAATTCTGTATGCACGCTAAACATTTTTGCCCAGTTTATCATGAAATAAGTAGCCTGTTACACTGACCTGTAGTTGCATGATACATGTCGGCATAGACATTCTACCAATAGCGTTCGACGATGTTTTTACGTCCACACGCCAATTAAAGTCAATCAGCTTTGGAAGTGAAACTGGAATCGAGAAAATGAGTTAAGAGCGACTACTCAGTAAATTTTTAAGCTCCTACATGAGCACGCATGTTTTACTCCTACACGCGTGCCCTCCATCCGCACGCGTGTCCTACTCTCGCACGCATATTCCACTTTCGTAGGCCTATCCCGCTCCCGCAGGGGTATTCCGCTCCAAAATGCACATCCAGCTACCATACGCGTATCCCGCTTCCACACGCATATTCCGCTCCCGAATGCGTATCCCGCTTACGCCCGCGAATCGCGTTCTTTCACGCGTGTCCTTCTTACGCGGGCGTATCCCACTCTCGCACGCGTGTTCTTCTGTTGATCTTGGACCACATCTCAGTGCCTAACTGACGCGCCCAAATTAACTGTTTAGGAGGAAAAGGCTTAAAGTTTAAGACGTTTACGTTTGAGTACTTTAATACGTTAGTAAGGTCAGTGCAGTCTTGATCAAAGAAACCAAATGTCAAGCCATTTTCAAACACACAACTCACCTTGTTCATTTGTTGCATTTGTTCTCCATATTGGCCTGAAACAATGATTGCAGTTACTTTTACTCTGACTTTAGAAACCAGATCTAATAACTGAAAGCACTTGTAACTTAGGCTGAAAGTCATGTTTTCAGATGATCTAAACAAATCACCACCACAACAAAAAAAGTCAAGCTTCTCCACTTTTCATAACACTCACACAGAAACCTAACCAGACGCTGACGGTGATGAAAAAAGAGATATATGTCTATCATTGTGAGCAATCTTTGTTGTTCAAAGTAAATGCACAGTAAATTATTAATTCACTTACATAGATTCGGCGATGATCTTTGAAATCAGCTCTCTCAGATTCTTGTGAAAGTTCTCTATCAATTAGCGGAAGAAATAGTCAAGAAGAGAGTCCAAAGTTATCCTCTGACAATGCAATTTTTTTACACGCTGAATAACTACAACCCTCTTAACAACATAAAATGTTTTGTTTTTCATTTCCCTTTTTAGTAAGAAAGTTCTATACTAATTATTAACAGATGCAATGACAACAGTTGTTGATCTGGGATCGTAGAGTTTTAAAAAGTTACATGTAAGGGTTTACACTGTTGTCCACGTGGGGGTTTGGGTAACATACACTCAACATATCATACCTGGAAACAGTTCATAGACTGCTTTAGGGTCCAAGAGACATTCAAACAAAGCAGCACAAATCACAGAAATTAGACTCTCTAACAGCTGAAAAGTTAAAAAGGGAAACGATATTATTGCTTCATAAATGATGATAGCAAAGTCAGATAAAAGCCAGATTCTACGATCAATCTGGAAAGAAAATTCACAAAATGTTTAAATTGCTTTTTGTTAAATCCTAAAAGATAAATAGCATTGTGTAAAAGTTCTGTCAAAGACGTTTCATTTAAATGGTAACCCCACAGGATTTTGTCAACACATCACAGTCAAGACAGGTCAAGTGTACCCTCCAAGATTCTATTAAAATGAATTGATTATTTGAAAAATGAATCTGTTAGTCATTCCCGAAACTAGTGTCAAAATTCAAAACAGCATTCCAGCATGCGTCGTGGTGAGCAGTGAATATTTACGAAAACTTCTCTGCATCTGGTAAGGTAAAAAATCTTTGAATGGATTATATTTCTTAGAAGACATTCACATTAAATTCAGGGAAACTGAGCTGGTAGAAATGTCGTAACTGCCTAGTGCGGGAATTCACGGCTCATTATGCATGCAAGAATGCAGAGATGAATCTGAAATCTGCAACCACCAGTGGATTCAACTTTTGACTAACAAAGTCATAAATGGAATCTTGGGGGGTACACTTGACCTGGCTTGACTGTAATACTTGGAGTGATTACAACCTCTGCACGATTCGCACAGTGAAGGAATGGAAAGGTTGAAGCTATTTACTTGTTTCCTATACCTGCCGTGCTTCATTAAGGCTCACATCAAGAGATTTTGTAACACTCTGAAGTACAGATATTGGCACTGGAATAAAAAAAAAAAGATAATCACATGTAAGGGTGACCTACATAGCAGGCAAATGAAATGGCCCATCCATCTGAAGGGTGACTTGTCCCAAGTCATTAAACCTGACTTGTATCAAATGGTAATTTGATTAAAATTCTCCCTTCAGTGTTATTAAGTAAACCTTGTATCAAGTAAAAGGCTCAGGTGTGAACAAGGCAAAAGTATTATCCCCCACCCCCCATGGGGTGGAGACATGGCTCCAAGGTTTTCATTGTAAAAAGCTAATTGACTTGCTTATCTTTGGTACATTAAAATAATAAATAAAGCCATAACATTACTAACCTTCATCATTTCTGTACCTAAATGCCTCATGAAAGAGGGTTCGAACAACATCTTTTGACTGGGCCTAGTGTAAAGTGACAACAAAATTAATGCTCTTTAACTTTTGTACTTCCACAGATTATAGTGGAGCCCCATGCATGCACGAACCGCCGACGAGCCAGACCCCATAGCTAAAGAAAATTTGCTTATCTACCAGTCGAAGAAATTTTCGTAAGTGACTGTGTGTCCATTCGTCCGTCCATACCACAGGGCAACCAATGTGGTCTCACACTTTCTAGCTAGGGTGGGAGCCTGCAACCTAATATATTGTACATCCATTCACCATTTGCACATCTCCCATAATACAACTTGTTTGCTCCCCAAAATTTCACATAAGCTTCGTTTTTCATTTGTCCTTGGAATTACAGCCGTCCCAAGAGAAATAGAAAACAATGCTTATGCAAAATTTGGGGGGTGGCAAATAAGGTGCATTTTGTGGTGAATGTTGCAGTCAATTGACAGCTGCCAAAAAAGGGTATCCACAGTATCATAAGACCATATTGGGGGCTAAGGTGTTGATCCATCAAAGTTCTCCACTGCCAAGTTACTAGTTTTCAACTGATCACAGGCTCAAAACCAAGTGGATTTCTTCGCATTGGTGGTTACAAGTTCATTGCTTGATGAAATTATATACATTTATTAACAGGAGCTTCGCTTTTAGCCTTGGCTAAATCAAAATTTATCTCAAGGTAACTATTTCAAACTTGTCATACATGTGAATCCCTGGTTCCCTATCAAAATTCTGTCAGAAAGAAGGGCTGGAATTATAATTACTGCAGAATGGTTTGTCCTTCCATCTCCACAAAGGCTGACTGACGAAGAACACCGCCAATGATAGAGAAGTGTCCTTGCAAGTTACCTTACGTGCAAGGTAAATAAGTCCTAAATAAGTCAGGAAGATTTCCGAATTATCAAGGAAGATCGAAGGGCCTCTGCTTGTAGGGTACTTGCAAGTGATATCACTACTACGATTTTAGCAATTATGTCTGCAAAATTAACTGGAATTTCATTTTAGATAGGCAGGTCTGGTCCACATCAGCCTCTGCTTGACTTTTACCAACCTGAGTTAACAAATAAAGCTATACACATGTATGTATGTATGTATGTATGTATGTATTTTGAAATCTCACTTAGAATCTGCATATTCTTATGTTCTTTTTGCTTTCATAAATGATTCCATCGTCTGATAATTTTTCTTACCTTAAGCAAAAGATTTAGAGGGTGGAAGACTTCTTCGTCCAAAACGACCGCCATCTTGACAACAGTTTCTCCTCGGGGACGGGTGAGGCTAGTTCAAAAATACCCCCCCAAAAAATTACCTAAGTAAACACAAAGATACCTTTGCAAAATAGAGATTTTACTCATATGAATCTACATAGCCTTAACGAGACATGTTTTGAGGGAACGTTTTGGTAGATAATTGAAAGTAAAATTAATTAATCCCCTGCAGGTCCCGAAGGGGATATTTTTGCTATGCCTTAGTAACCATGCGACAATAAAGACTTCCGCTACATACTCGCACGTACGAGAGTGATTTTCCAAGAAATGAGTCGTTTTATAACGCGAAATGCTCTCGTTTCGAAAAACATTTTACTGTGCCCGAGGAAACTTTACCCCACGGCACGGAGACTCATGGAAATTGACAGTTCACAGGCGAAATTTTTGGAGGAACCTCTCATTATGGTTGACGAAGCCGATGCAGTGAAAGGTTACGAGACAAAAAGGGATTGTCATCTAAAGGCAAATATCATCGAACACGGGATGCTACATCGGGCATTCAGTGTTTTTCTGTTTAATGGCAAGAGAGAATTATTGATGCAACAAAGATCAGACAAAAAGATCACATTTCCTGGTTATATTACAAATACATGCTGCAGCCATCCGCTTCATAATGATGAAGAACTGGAAGAATATGGAAATATTGGTGTTAGAAAAGCTGCTAAGAGAAGACTCTCTTACGAGCTGGGAATTCCAGGTGTGTAAGTATAACTAGGTGGGCTGTGGAAATGACTACCTCCACTAATTTTACTAACTCCATTTCATTTCTGCAAACTACCCCCCCGGCCCCCCACAATTCCAAAGATGGCCTGAATTTTTGTCGGTGCCCTATGTAAAAGAACAGCTTAAGGGTTGATTTCTCTGTCTGCACCTCTGAAAAAAGAAATGCAAAGTTTTTGAGCTTCTTTGAAGAAAAATACTAGACCTGATAAAAAATGGAAATTATGCCCTCCTCCTTCCCTCCTTACTGGATTTTTACATAGTTGCAGTCTTCTATTGTTTAACATAAGTTAAACTTAGTTGTGTCAAATTGCATAATCTACGGAAGTGTTTTGGGACACTGCTTTTATTGCCTATTTCAAGATTGGGAAGAAACTTGCTTTATAAACAGTCCTTCAGTGTTTATTCAGTTTGACACTAGCCCAGTCTAATGTGCAACCTGAAATGGCCAATCATTAAACAAATTTTTCTTAAAGGGAGTAACCTGTAGTAGTAGGGTTAAGTTGTTCACCACTGTTGTTTCCACAATTTTTCTTACAATTATTATCTTTCATCCATCATCTCCACTATCATCAATCTTTACTTGTCATTCCATTGCTGCTTAGGTGTGTGCCTGGGTGTGAGCAAAAGATCAACATTATTTTTGTAATAATATTAAATTATTTGCGGCCTGACAGTTTAAATAATTTATATCAAATTTAACAGATCCTTGATAAATAGACTTTTTCGGCTAACTCAATGTTGTACCCAATTCAAATCTCCCGGGGATAAGATTCTTTGTGTATTATATTTGCATTCTAATGTGGCATTCACATTTAAATGATCTGGAAATTCTTGTTATTCCCAGAGGGTTTGAATTGGGTACAACATTGAGTTAGCCGAATAGGTCTATTATGCCATTTTATTTCTCTTCTTTGCAGATGATGAAATATCAGTAGATGATTTGCAATTCCTCACCAGGATTCACTACAGAGCAGGTTCAGACAAAATTTGGGGAGAACATGAAATGGACTATGTACTGTTCATGCAAAAAGAAGTAACACTGCAGCCAAATGCTAACGAAGTCAAAGACTGTTGGTATGCTTCACAGACCCAGATCAAGGAACTTCTGCAAAAATCCTCTGAAGACCCAAACACCTTAGTGACACCGTGGTTTAAATTGATTGCTGATCACTTTTTATTTAAATGGTGGGCAAGCTTGAATGACTTGTCTCACTTTGAAAATGACAGAGAAATTCACAGGATGCCAGGAATATCAACCTAGGTTGAAACTGTGAGTTTTCAGGGGAAAAAAGAAGACATTCACAGCGGCTTTATATCAGAATGTTTTTGCTGGCAATGTAGAGAAATGCATCAGTCATTTCTACATGGACACTAATAGTAGTGCTCTATTTACTTCATCTAAGCAAATCAATTGACGATTAGCTCAGATGTGAGTTTGTGTTACATTAATTTTGATGTTTGAGAATATAAATTGAATACCACAAAGTAGGTGAAATCCTGCAAAGCAAGATGCCTGTGATTTATTTCAGTTAAATATTATGCACTGTGAATAAGAGCTTATTGCCAGATAAGAGTCTGTCTCAAATTTTTAAACTTATAATAATGCCACTGGCTACTGATACACTGTATTTCACCAGAAAACAGACTTGGTTTGGTTTAACTTTAAACTTGATAGTCACGGTTAGATATAATTAAAACATCTATTTGTACAAGATATTAGATTCTGTCATTACTTGGGCTACCCTAACAGTGATACAGTATATCTTCATAAAAGTGTTTTTACTGTCATTAAATTTCAGAAGAAGTTACACATTGTATTTTAAAACTATTAGAATAAATAATATTCAGCTAAAAAGCGATTTTTTTATAATGGGTTGTATATGGGGGGTCAAAATTCTTCCAGAATTTTTTGGAGGTAACTAGTATCTTTCTTAAAACCTAAAAATTAAAGGAGGTGTGTACAAATGGATATCAAAAAATGAATACTATAAGTACATTGTACAATGTCTAGAGAAAGAACAAAAGGCAACGTGGCACATTCTTCTTATTACAGCTCTACAGGAGTAACTTAGCTATCATGCCCCGGTTGTTCAAACATTGGATAGCACTATCCACCAGATAAACCATTATCCACCAAATAAGTGTTAGTACGCTATCCACTGTGTAGAGACATATCTAGTGCCTGTGAATAGCGTTATTCACCTTTAGAACAACTCGGCCCAGGTGCATAAGTATGTAATGTAAGTCCCAAAAGCTTGTAGATCTCAACGTCTCTAAAGGAATGATAAAACTATAGAAGATAGAGTAACTAATGATAACACTTTTTTTCAAAGTACTCTATTTAGATTTCGTCAGTTATGTAAAATGATATCATACATGTTTTGCTTAAAGCAACTGAAAACAGTTATTTTGAGTTTGACTTTTGAAGGAGCTCTCTCCTCTGCAGGTGAATCTGCCTCTGAGTGAAGTGGTGGCCACTGCTTGATTTTCCTTTTTTGGGGCAGGCAGGGGGGGGGCTGCACCTTTGCTCACTTCACATTGTGGAAATCTAATAATATCCCGTTCAACGTTTACAGGGGAGAGAGTCGAAGAGGTTGTGGAATAAGGCCTTAACTGACTACTAAACTTCAGTGTACTATTAAAGCAGTCTTGTGATTCACAAGCTTAACATTATACAAGGCAACTGGACAGAGTTCATCAGTGGTCACTTTGGGCCTTATACCAGGCATCCAAAAAGGTTATTTTTTATATTACAGTGAATTAATTCTGTTAAAAAAAAAATATTTCTTGCACCAAAACTGAAATTTTCTTTTCATGACTTTTTAAAAGGGTGGATAAGCACTGCCCTGAATACAAGAGTTATATATCAGTGCTTGAAAAATGCACTTAACCAAAAAAAGCAAAATTTTACTGGTGGCTTAACACCTAGAAAATTATTCTGAGGAATCTGAAACCTGTGTATATTAAGCAGGCACCTGGCTGTCCACTTAATACAATAAATTATTCACATGTTTGACTGTAACTTCTCAAACTCATCGATAATTCATAAAGAAAATACAAAGGAAATTAATGTTTAATGAGTGTTGAGAAATCAGATGAAAAACTGCTCATTTGCATCCTTAATTTCGCCTTGTAAAATCATTTTATTTGAGAAGTAATATCAAGCATTTGACAGAGTGTTTCATCACCAGATGAAATACCTCAAAGTTTGTCAAAAATACTCTGCTTCATGTCATACTTTCAACTCTGTTCTCAGTGTTTCATCTGGTGATGAAACACTGCATCTCATGCTGGATATATTACATACACTATACATACATACAAACAGTAATATACACTGTATATTAAACCCTGCATTGATTAGTATAGCCCTGTGCAAAGATCAGATTCCAAGGCTTTACACTTTCACTTTTTTCATGTCACTATGCTTTATTTGTTTCCAGGGATTCGTTGTACTTTGACTCATCTTCTACTTTTAATGCTGCCCACTTGTTTGGAATACCAATCTTGTTCCATGAGTTAGCAAACTCTACAAACTTGTCCCAAAAGTCTGCCTTTGTTGTGTTTTCGAAATATCCATTTTCACAGGCAAATTTGCGCTGCAGGTGTAAGCAAGAAAATTAATATGCCATTAAATGTTAAGCTTTGATAATAAAAAACAAAAAATGATTCAGCAAAATTTTCTTATAAATAAGTAAGAAAAACTTTGATCCCCGTAATGTGTACTTGGGAATGAGTTAAGGAAAGTTTGAAAGTTTGGAAGTTTCCATTTTCAGATGCAGAACTGTTTCTTGTAGTTTAAGAGATTTTCCTGAGACATTAAGAATAAAGGCAAAACTGTACTTGTGCTTCACAGTAAGAAAACAAGTTTTACCAGGAGCATTGCAGTTTTAGCAGCATTTTTCATGTCTTCTTCCTTGCTCTTGAATGGTGCGTACAGTTTAGCTGTAAACTCAGATATATTCAAGTGGTTCAACTTCCTGTTGAGTACCTGAATCCAAAGCACACAAAGAGAAAATTAATTAATAACTGTCATTTTTTTCTAATGCATGAAAAAGCTCCAAAAATAAACATACATGTAAGTGTAGACAACTACTGACAGAAAAACAATGAAGTCGTCATCATGTACAGACATTGTAGCACCTGGTTGTAGGAACATTGAATGCAAAAGAGAGAGAAACAAAAAATATCAAGAGCTTGCAAGGGGAAATACCCAAGAAAGCTTTGGATCACAAAGAAGAAAAGCAGGGTTGTCAAAAGTATCCGGCTGCCTACTTGGTTAGTATCAGCTGGCTACCCTGCTTGGCATCTCTTTATGGATGGCGTTTTTTAAATAAAATATCACTGGACTCACCGCTTACTTTGACAACTCAGCTGTCTACTTCAAAACTTTCTGACAACCCTGAGAAAGTCACTTGAAGGAAACAGGAATTCCATACAGAGTCAAAACTTTACAAAAGTCTGCATTTCTAGGAATGGCCACCATTTTGAGAAAGGTCCTTGAAGTCTTAAGTCTCAGGACGGGACAGGACTACAAGGGGGAATTTTATTATTTCCAGCGCAATGAAAACCTGTGCGAATTAAGGAGATGATGATGATGTTGATCATGATGATTGTACATAATTATGTTGTATCTTTCACAAATATTAGTTCTTAGAACCTTTTTTCTGATATCCGCTCTCCATAATGTATATTTTTCTTTGCAGTATGAAACACAACTTGTCACATGGTGGGTATCAACCTTTTCTGTTCCTCCTAATAAGGTTGCTATCTCTTCCTGAAAAAAAAAGGGCCAATAAATACAGAAATATTGGCTGGTAGTATAAGTATATACTCAATCAGTCAGCTCTCATATTTTGCTTGCCCAGCGCCAGTGTGTTTCCTTGTGTAAGATAATAGGGACCTTAAGCAAAGACGACGACAAAGGCAGTGAAAACTTCGCTAAAAATGAATTTGCATTCTTTCAGACTTAATCGTGTCTATTTGGACCCGCTCAATATGTCAAATTATGCAGGCAACTATTCCTGGAATTGAATTCTTAAGGATTTTATTCAAGTTAAAAGAGAGGAAGGAAAATTTGTTGCTGTGTGTCCACATCCTCCATAAAATGTGCTGCCGAACTTGGACTCTTTTCAAAAAGCACTTTCTCCATGACTGCAACCCTTTTGCTTTAATATTAATTAATTAACATTTGTTTATTTTTTCCTTAGTGTATTTATTTATTTATTTACTTTTTTTAAGACTCCCTAAAAGAATAAATCTTCATTTTTGAAGGAGGTGGGGTTCCATGGAAAAAGAAGAAGAAATACCTTTAATTTTTCCAAAGCCCCTTGGACAAGCCATGGTCCATGAGTAACAAATACCTCCTTTGCTTTAAGCACCAGTTCTCGCTGTTAAACAAAAGTCGCAATGTAAGACAATAAAAAGTATAAAGAACACAGTTGGCTAAATTTCCTTGGTTACATGCACAAAAAAACAATGTGTAAAATCATTCATTGTTAAAATAATATTATTGTGTTACAGTATCCCATTACAAATTTCGTATTTCATGCGATCTTGGGAAGTTCTCTCACTGGTCACCCAACAGTAGGAATTGTTAGGATCAACTCTGATTGGCTGTTACCAAGGATCACAAGGAATAGTTTATATAGGATTAACTGCAGCAACGTTATGCTTGCTTGCTTGCTTGCTTGCTTGCTTGCTTATTTCGAGCGAACTCGAACTCCATTAACTAGCTTCATCCATTCCTTCCGGTTTTCCATGATGTTCTTCAGTTCAGCTATGCTCAAACCAGTATCATTTTGCAGCTGGTCTACGTATGTTAATGCTGGTCTTCCTCTCTTTCTTGCGCCGTGCTTTGGTTCCCAGAGTAGTAAATCACTTATCACCTCATCCTTTTTTCTCCAACAGTGTCCTATAAACCGCAGCCTCCTGATCATCAGTGTATCTGTAATCTTAGGAAGATTGCCGTACAGTTCTTTGTTGGTTTTATGCTCCTTCCAGGAAACTCCAAGAACTGCTCTGAGCATTCTTGTGTACGTACCATCTAGTCTATTCATCATCTTTCCAGTCATCGTCCAGCATTCAGCACCATAAAGCAGTACACTTTCAACTGTGGCCCGAAAGAAACCTATTTTGAGATGATTTTTTAGGTTTGATTTCCACACTTTCATCATTTTGTTGAGTGCACTCCAAGCGTGTCCAATTCTTATATTCATGTCCTTTTCACCGGATTGTATCCACGAACCAAGGTATTTGAAGTTATCTACTTGCTTCAATTTGTTCCCTGCCAGTGTGACAAGATCACCTACAGGTTGATTGTACAGCATGTATTCCGTTTTCTTGTAGTTAACATGCAGACCCACTGTTTTCGCAGCAACCTCCAGTCTTAATAAGAGAAGTTGTGCCTCTTCAAGATAGTCAGAAATTAGGGCAAGATCATCCGCGAAATCAGTGTCGGTGATGTATGTTGCTACATGACGGGAGCTCTGCCGTGGTGTAAGAGTGAACCCAGTGTGTGTTTCTCTAGTAGCTTCTCTAAGGGCATAATCCAAGGCTATGATAAATAGGAAAGGTGCGAGTGTGTCTCCTTGCAGAACTCCCGCAAGAATTTCAAAGAATTCCGTATCACCATCAGGAGTTATCACCTGTGCTTCGGTGTCCTTGTAGAGTATGCTGATGGCATCCACTATCTTTGTTGGAATTCCATATGCCTTCAAGATCTCCATCAATTTCCCACGATGTATCGAATCAAAGGCTTTACTGAAGTCTACGAAAGTCAATATTGCAGGAAGCTGTTTTTCTTTTATTCCCTCTATGAGCCTACGCAGAGTTAAAATTTGCGGTAGTGTAGATCTACCCGTACGAAATCCATTTTGGTTCACCCTGAGCAGAGGATCCAGATGAGGTCTTATTCGATCTAATAGAATCTTGTTATAGATTTTCGCAGCTGTGACAGTTAGGGATATACCACGATAGTTTCCTGTGTCACCCAAGTCACCTTTCTTTGGTAGGGGTATTATTCCACTTTTAACCCATATATTCGGTCGATCACCATTGAATGTTTTGTTGCAGATGTCAAGCAATTGTTGATTTAAGGCACCAGTTTTCCAGACTTCAATTGGTATGTTGTCGAGACCATGTGCTTTGTTATTTTTGAAACCTTTGATACTTTTAACCAGTTCTTCCATGGTTATGTTATCCGTGTTGATGGGAAGAGGTTCATGTATTATGGAAGCAGTTGGTTTTATTGTGACACTGGGTGGTTGACCTAGCAGGTTTGAGAAGTGTAACTTCCATTTACTGACACGGTCTTCAGGACTTTTGGCTTTTATTCGACCCCTGTTTGTGCCCTTTCTTCTTGTGAACTCGTTTACCGTTTCCCATGCAAGACCGGATTTTTGGTGTTGTATAGCGTCAGTAATTGCATGAATCTTTTCATTCACATACTTCTCTTGTTCTCGATCGTAAGATTCCTGTAGCTCTTGCTTGGCCTCCTCCAGTTTTACAGCACTGCTTCTGGTATTTCTTCTCAAGGATACCTCATAAGCATTCTTCACCATTTCCCTTTTTTCTATGATGTTTTCATTTTCCCACGGAACGTGTTGCTTTATCTTGGCCTTCACAGGTACACTGATTTCTGCAGCTTTTTCATGGGCTGTCATGATATTCTCATACATCTGGTTTGCATCCTCATTACCATGTAAGTCCTGTAGAGTTTGGTATCGGTTGCAGACTTCAACAGTATACATGTCTTTGATGATGTCATCATTGAGAAGCTTGTTCCAATCGTATCTGATCTTTTTCTTACCAGATGGTTTACTTTGCCGCAGGCTTAGTCTTATTTTAGCTGTGACAATACGGTGATCAGATACGTTATGCAGTAATGGATAATATAATGCCTTAACCCTACTTCTCTTTTGAGAGGCTACCATGGCCACCTTTTCTTTCCCAGGCAACTTGCTTGAAAACACAGTGCAGCTGCCAAACTTCAACACTGTTGATCAATATTACTATACACCCTGATTTATCCCTAAGGATTATCTAACTGTTGATATTTCATAATTACTGGAATATTTAATAATTAAATATGGACATGCACACCATACCATACCTCAAATCCACATGTTTTGACTGTAAATGGAATCTTTCTTTGACATTGTACTTGTTGTTTCAACTCATGCAGTTCAGTCAGTGCTTGACGAAGAAGAACTGCGTTTTCTTGGGTCTGTCTCACCAACTCATTGAGCAGCTTTTCTAAAACATGTGATAATGATGATGATATGATAATTAACAAACAATACTTGATTATTAATTATCATATCATCATAATTATTATTGGATGAGCTGGTTTTTGTGATACCCAGAATAATCAAAGTCAAGGGAAATCTTATCAGCTGAGCCAAAGGCCAGTAGGCTGATAACAATGAGATCTTGATTATTCTGGATATCACAAAAACCAATGTAACAATAGTAATAGTTGTTTTATAATAATACATTGTTATTATTGTTGTCGTTGAAGATTGAACAAGAAAAGTACACCTGCCAACTTTTTCTGACTCAAATACATGAGATTTTTGTCTTGTCATAACCAGAATTTCTGAAAACATCCCAGCAACTTCCAAAGACTTTCTGAACACCTCCAAACATTGCCAAAAATAAAGATATTTAAAAAACTTTGATCACTTCAAAAGCTATTTCAAAGGCAACAAGTTTAGCGTTACATGCAGGGCATGAAATGAACACTAAGCACATTTAAGAGTCAAGTGTGAGAAATTGTCCTTGATATGAAAGATCAATGTCTTCAGTCCACAGGCAGCAGCCTGACACATAATACATGAGACCCTTACTGTTACATGGGGGTGTATACATCATAATCCCAAACCTTTGGTTTCTTAAATCTCCTAATGTAGTTAATGCCAGGCAAAAGGTGACAAACAGTTATAATTTTTAGCACAACTTACCTGTAGACGGAATTGCAGCTGCTATTAGGGTGAACTGCTGGCTGGCATTAGAAGAACTAGAGGGGACGTCAATGGATGCTGATCCATTTAAGACAGTTGAGCTATCACCTAATTCTCCAGCAGCTAATGGACATGTTCCCTACAATGAAGATATTGACGAATTGAAGGCAATAATTTATCTTGGGTCCAGTATCTGAAATGATTCAGCAGCCCAAATTCATGTTACAAGAGAGCAGTGTGCTGATATTATTGTTATGCCTGCAATCCAGGCAATTATTTAATGTCTACATCTGGGTAAAATTTTTGTAAATAATTCATGCAGTCTTTTACTTTATGCAAATCGCTGCTTTTGAAAACTCTTTGTCTGGACTCGAGTCTAGACTTGGGTCTGCCTGTGGTAAAACTATAATATATAATAATAAATTATAAACATATGTGTACTGCAGAATTATTATATTGTAACACTAGAGCCAACCTGATAAAATCTTGGGGATACTATAAAAGGGGTGTTTGGGGGTTGAGGTTTGGGGAGGGGCTGTAATTACTGTCAATCTGTTGCCATGTGAATGATGTGAACTAGAAATTGGCTACAGAAGAAACCAACATGTCTCTAAAGCCTGGTTCACCCTTGTGACTTAATGACTGACATAAGCCGAACAGTATAAGAAGGTGGTTATGTAATGTTGTTATGTTTGTAGTGTGAACAATGATGTTGACATAACAACATATAACAACATAACAACAAAAGCAATAGAATTGATTATGTCAATGTTATGTTTATGTCCATTATTCTGTCCTTATGTTTTTGTTATACATGGTAAAAACAAGTGTGAACAACCTTCGACATAATGACATAACAAAGAACCAAACAGAGCATATTGAAACTATCAAATTAATGTAGTCTTCCTCAAGCATGATTCTCAATGTGGCAGCTTCAGGGGAGGACATTGTTAGTGGAGATGTTGCAGTTGATGGGATTGATGAACTCCAATCAGAAACAGTTCAGAAATACCCTGTCTATTATCAAAAACCCTTTCACCACAAAATGAAAAATAATCCACGAAAAATAAAAAATAAAAAAAATAAAACGGTGAAAGCCATCAAAATGTTTTGAAGCTTTCATTGGTGTTGTCTTCTCTGTAAACTTGAAACAAAGACAAATGCAACAAGTAGAGTCTTCGCTGCCATCTATTTTGTTTTACTTACGTTTATGTCGTTATGTTGTTGTTCACATTGGCAACATAAGCTCCTTATAAGTTAATGTGTCATTATGTCCCAAGTGTGAATCTAAGAGGGGTAGTGGTTTAACTGCCCAGTTGGCAAAGAGTTTCGGGTTAATCAATTTATTAAGATTGCCATGATTGTACATCTTTCCCAGGGAAGATGTGCAATGGCACATAATTAGGAATAAGAAATTAATGCAATGAAGGTTTTTGAAACCAATACTATAAAGGTTTCATTTCCTTTGTCTCAGATTGTATAGTCAATCTCTTAACTGTTTCAGTCCCTAGTTGAACATTGAGACTCAATAAAGACAGGAATAATTCCTGTCTTTATTGAGTCTCAGTGTTCAACAGAGTTCAACCATTAATTGAAGACTATTAACACAATTTTCACCCGGCCGGGTTTGCTGAATGTAGCATTCTACTCTGCCCATCCCGATTAATTAAACGAACAAAATCAAACTACAACACCCCAAATTAAAGGACATTAATTTTCTGTTCCCTTTAAGTTTACATTTTATCTTATGTATGATTATCGTTTTAAAAATCATGATGCTAAAAGCATGATTGCTCTGATCTAGAAACTACTGGACTGTTTGGTTTTTAAGACCACCTCGTTATTGCGGCCATATTCTTTCAAACCAAACGTAACAACCATTGAGTCATTATATCATTATGAAGACCCCGTTAATGCGACCACCTCGTTATTACGACCAGGATTTTATGGCCCAACGGCGGTCGCATTAACGGGGTTGACCTACACGTGCGGATGCCTTGGATCTCTGCTTTCGATCTCGCAATGGACATCATAATTTTGCTCAGCTGTTTTGCCAGAGATGAACCCAAAACATCTAAAATAATGTGCCGTGTCCGCGTGCACTTAAAACGACCACCATTCACGAACTAAAGCCATCACGTACAGGATTTACAAGGTTGAGTGTTTTTTTTTACGAAACGTTGAAAACCCTGTAAAGCCGTATTTGTCGGATGTTGGTTGGCAAGGACAGTGGTACTTGAGAACGATATGGGAGCCATATTGGCGAAACCACGATCCGTATGACAAAAGACAACCAAAAAATAATCTCAGGGGAAGTCTACTTTACCTCCGATTTGCTTGCTAATTCTACCTCGTCTTCATCGAAGATTAAAGTCGTCATTTTTGTGTTAAAATCGAGCAATCACTCCTGAAAAATCACATAGATTATTCTGTACAGGGGTTTGATTTTGCGGTGAAAAGGCATTGGAAGCAAGGTCGACGAATGTTCGGAACCTGTCGGAACCAACCGAGGAAGACCGAGGATCTTGGATCTGGCTCATCGATACGAAGCCTGGGTACTAGATGATCCCCTGCAAGCGTTCAAAATGGCGGCGGTAAGTAACCATGTGCATAACTAGAAAATGCCTTATTTTCTTCCCGAAAAAGGGTTCTGTTTCATTATTTGTATTAGTCAATGTTTCCTTACGAAACGGCTTCCTTTCATCATGTTATCAGTATAAAACTATGTCATGGAAAACGACGCGCTTCCAACTTCTGCATGATCACGCATGTTTCAGTCTGCTGTCATAATCTTCATGAAACAGCGTATAGTATTGTCCACCCGACAATTTCTTCATCCATCTTCGTTTTTCAAGTGTAATTTACTTGATTTTGATTACATGACGATCTGTTTCAAACTGTAAGATATCCTTACTGATGATTACCTTTTTTAATTTTATGAGCAAACAAACTTACTTATTGTAACCATGGTAAATTAAACGTTGAAGCCTTTTTTAGGTAACAAATTTTCTTCGCTACAATGTTGTTTCCTTACAAGTTGTTTCGTTACAACATAAGCCATGTAACCTTTGATAATTTTCTGGTCCATCGATATGTTTGTGTGAAACATTCGTGGTTTTAGTGTTAAGTATATTTCAAATTTCCAACCTACCAAACAGGCCTCTTATCTTCTGACTAAGGTGCTGTTTTATTACATGGAGGGAGGAGGATCCTTGCACCAGGAATATTTTAGAAGGCAGATCATCCTATTAACATAGGCTTTCTGTATGCAGTTTACATGCAAAGGGTTTTACTTGTCCTTAGCGCTAGGATCTTCCCAGTACTAGGATCCTTCCTAACTGTAAGGTAGGAACAACCCAGTAGTAGAAAGATCCTAGTTCCATATAAATGGGCTTCACTAGGAAAATCATAGTACTAGGGACAAACAAAACATAAATAGCAGGTCATTCATTGGGTAATCATGGCAAGGCTGACCATTTCATTTGGCATTAGCACAAGCTGATAATTGTGATAACTCTGCTGAAAGGGAGTTATTAACGCTAGTGAAGAGAGCAGAAGGGTCCTTTTGTCACCTGTCATCATTAATTCCTTTTCTATTTGAGCACCACACGCACCAAAATTTCTGCCTGTAAACCTAAAAAGTCGTTCTTCCTCCTAGGATCTTCCTGGTAATAGGATCTTCCTCCCTCCATGTACACAGCTCATTTTAAAATCATATCGTAAAATTCCGAAAATAAGCCCCTCCATGTATAAGCCCCTCCAATTATAAGCTGTCCAAACTCCTACTACAAAAAACCCTCCGTTAAATCGCCCCTCCAAAATAAGTTCCCCGGGGGGCTTGTACTTGGAAATTGCTCTCAAATACAAAGTAAAACAAAGAAAAACGGTAAATTTCCTTCCAAAAATAGGGCTAGCCCAAGCGATTTTTAAACGCAAATTTCCCTCCGTACATAAGCCCCTCAAAAAGAGCCTTTAAAAAATATAAGCCCCGAGGATTATTTTCGGAATTTTACAGTAAATTAAGACATACAGTTTTGAACCTGGACAAGCAAAATCTAAGAACAGCTTGTCCTTTTATACAGTCTAACCTCCACAAACGGCCACCTCTCCACACCGGCCACCTCTCTACAATGGCTACTTTTTTTCAGTGAACAATCCATGCATTGACTCTTGTTTAAACCTCTCTACAATGGCTGCCTCTTTATGATGGCCACTTTCTTCTTTCCCCAAGGTGGCCATTGTGGAGAGGTTCAACTATATGTATGTTATATCAGCAGGGACTATACTGAACTTCCAGGCCAAACTAATATTAAGCGTTTATTAACTGTTTAGTGTAGTATAGGGTGTAGATACATGTGTAGAAGAGTTTTGGTCTAGAGAAGGGTATCTAGTAACAAAAATGACCAGTGGTAATAGTAAAAGGTGTAGTCTACAGCAGGAATTGAAACTTGGATATTGATCTGCTCTATGATGTAGGATATTGGGAATTTTAGTGTTTAGTCTAAAATAGAGCTTAATTTCAAGACACGTGAACATTGTCTTCTCTATTGTGTGATTATCTTTGTACATGTAGGCTGCAGCACAGAAAGTCCAAGAAGTCAGAGACATCACAAGAATTGAAAGAATAGGTCAGTAATTTAAAGAATTGATTCAATTAAAAGTGAGTGGTTAAAACAAGTTATATACCACAGGGGATGTCTTACTCAATGAGATTAGAAAATCACTAAGTTATAAACTCATTTTAGTTCTTTATTTTTTATTGCTCATAGGAGCTCACTCTCATATTCGTGGGCTTGGCTTAGATGATGCACTGGAAGCCAGACAAGTAAGGAGAATGTTTTTTTCCTTGTTTTAATTATTGTGAGTACAGCAATGTATGTGTACAAGTACAGTTTGTAAATTGCCTTCATGAACCCAAGGCTGTAATGCCAAACAAATTTGGCATTACTATTTTTCTCAGTCTAAACTACACGTATAATAAACTGTGACATCCAAAGCTCTAGATTTTTGTTTGCAAAATTTTGATCAGTAATTTTTATGGGTACTGAGAGTCTTCGCATGAGAATTCTTAATATTGAGTGTCAATTTCTCTGTAGGTTTCTCAGGGAATGGTTGGTCAGGTTGCAGCCAGAAGGGCAGCTGGTGTTATTTTAGAGATGATCAAGGTACTTGATTGTACATGTAGCATTTTTTATCATTGTTACTTATAAAGCAAAACCAAGTTAAAGTAATTAACAAAGTAGCTCACTGTAATGCCATTCTGAAGACTGTAAGTAACAAATCATGTCAAGTCATATAAAGAAACTTGAAAGTATTTATAAATTTTTTCACATAATAATCATATTCTTGAGAATGACATTACAGTGGTGCTTACATGTTGACTTTTTAGCCTTGAATGTATTTTTACCATTATTACTATTATGTAGATGAATTTATATACTCTCAGTGTTCAACTGGTTCCAGTTCCCTGTATAAGTCACATCCTGCAACCTATTATTATTATTATTATTATTATTATTATTATTATTGTGGGTGACAAGAGGAGCCAGCAATCCTAATCTCCAGGTTGTTATTACACATGCATCACATGTATGTAACCAGCTTTCATTTGGACGTCCACTAAGAATGAATAAAATGCACATTTGGACCTTCTATCACTCGTAATCAGATCAGGCATGTTTTGACCATCTGTTGCATGAAACTTATGCAAAGCACAGGACTGGATCGTTGTCGCCCACACTCCGTAACCTTTGGTAATTACTAGTTATTAATATTAATTTGTGTTTCCTTAGGAAGGCAAGATTGCAGGAAGAGCAGTTTTGATCGCAGGACAGCCTGGCACTGGAAAAACAGCTATTGCTATGGGTAAAATGAAGTTTGTTATTGTCTCTCTTGAAATTATTGCTAAGCAACTTACAAAATGGAGGTGACAATTGTAAAGAAAACTACCACATGAAAACAATGATACAGGTTTATCTCTTTTACTACTAAGACTGACCAAAGGAAAAAAATCCCGCCAAAAAATGCATTTAAAAAACACTTGTAATGAAAAATACATTTTGCCAAAGGTCTGTGGAAGCAGTTTCATTTGAATGGTTACAGGATTTCATCTACAGATTTGAAAGCTAGAATCACTGTACCAAATAATCTCTCAATAATGTGGTCAAGGAATAAAAGGTTTATTGAGTAAAACAACAACTCCATATGTATCACTGACACTAGCCTGAAAAATTATTACAGTTCTTCTGCAATTCAGATTACCCTAAAAACTTCACTTGCCTCTCAGGCAAGTTAAGGACAGGATTCACTATCCTGATAGCAAAATCCACAAGCCCTGGGCTATCGGACGCTACTGATTTGCACGCTGCTGTATACATGATCTCTGTCATTTATGGACACCTTTCTTTTCTTTTCTTTGTTCTTTGTGTCATGTTTGACAATGTTTGCTGCAGGCATGGCTCAGTCACTTGGACCAGACACTCCATTTACATCCTTAGCAGGCAGTGAAATATACTCATTGGAGATGAGCAAAACAGAAGCTCTTACACAAGCTTTTAGAAGGTCAATTGGTGTTCGAATAAAGTAAGTTTGTATCAGTGGAAACACTGTAGTCTTCTTTGATGAGAAAATTGCAAAATCTCAAAAAATTTCTGTTTAATAGATAATCATGTTTTCACAAGGTTAGACTTTGCAGAACTGCTGTTGGCATCTATCATTTATCATTATAAATACATTTTGAGGTATATCATATTTCCTTTGATAATGGTGATGATGATGGTGTGGTTAAAGCCTATTTCTTTTTCCAGGGAGGAAACTGAGATCATAGAAGGTGAAGTTGTAGAAATACAAATTGACAGGCCTGCAAGTGGAACAGTGAGTTAATTTAACTGATGATGAGGGTGTTTTTTCTGCATATTGTTGAATATCTTCTCATTGTTAAGGTTGCATTTGCACTGAAATTTTCATTTTTCTCAATATTATTCATTAGGGAGCAAAAGTTGGTAAACTAACACTGAAAACAACTGAGATGGAAACTGTCTATGATCTGGGAACAAAGATGATAGAATCACTTACAAAAGAGAAAGTGCAAGCGGGGTAAGAATTTAGTCAGTAATTTAATGATATTAAAGAGTCAACTTTCTCGATGGCCAAAAATTTGGCTTTATCAGTTTGTTGTAAATTGGCCACCAAAGAAGGGTTGAGAAATGATTTGAACACTGTTGTTCCTCCAGAGTTTTTTCTAGGGGAACCCATTGGCCTCTTTTCGTGAAAAGTAAGGGCCATATGGAAACTAAAGGTGACCAAAGTAATCTGTACACGTATACCCAACAAAAACCGCATGGAATGATGAAGTAACTAGAGCTCACACTCCAAATGCTCCTTGAGTTCTCTGTTGCTCTATGAAAGTTGTTTTTTCTGTCAAGATGGCAGTCACATACTTCTGCCCCTCAGATGTGGATGACTGCTAAAGGTACAAACTGTAAAATGACAAGTCATGTCTGTGCAAGTTGCTTTCAAACATTACCTGTTCTTGTACAGAAACTGCAGTTATTTTTTAAGCTTGGTTCATTTGACTGATGATATTGCCTTGCATTTCCAGTGACATTATAACTATTGACAAAGCAACAGGGAAGGTCTCCAAACTTGGTCGCTCATTCAACAGAGCTAGGGATTATGATGCAATGGGGCCACAGGTTGGTGATGTTGAACTGAAATTAATTGTACTTTTATCATGGACTTATCCCTACTGATTTGCCATCCTTGGCATAGTGCTTTTCAGGAGGGTTTGTTACAATGTGGGAGGGAAATAGAAACTCTAGGGAAGGAAACATGAGTATATTTTTCATATTGTAAGGTGTGGAGGGTCACACATGCCAATATTTGGCAACTCACTCACATGTGACCTCTGAATCTTGCATTTGCCATTGTTATCACTCCTAAGACTACTGTTGAAGGCTGTCAGTAGATATTAAAAGAATCTTTTTAATAATTTAGACCAGGTTTGTTCAATGTCCTGAGGGGGAGATACAGAAGAGAAAAGAAGTCGTTCACACTGTTACTCTACATGAAATTGACGTCATCAACAGCAGAACACAGGGGTTCCTGGCTCTTTTCTCAGGTAAAGCAAGTAATTTAGGACCATAACCTAGTGTGACCGAATTGCTTCTTAGTGTAACTCCAAAAACGACCTACCTGTATATGCTCTATGTTGGGGGCATTACCCAGTGTGAACGAATTGCTTCTTAGTGTAACTCCAACGACGACCTACACGTGTATGCGCTAAGTTCGCACGTGACCTTTCTCAAACTGATGGGGGTATTAAGCGCCCGTTTCCCTCGTCTCTCTTACATGTACATGGTGAGATGACATTCAGACCTGTTGACTCTCTACCCATTTAACATTAATTGTACTCAAAGCAGTGTTGATTGGCCATGATCTTACGATCAATGACTGTATATCGTTGTAAGGAAATTCATCCCCCCTGCTGTTTTTGCAAAAGGTGATACTGGTGAAATCAAAGGAGAGGTGCGAGAGCAAATCAACGCTAAGGTGGCAGAATGGAGAGAAGAAGGAAAAGCTGATATTGTGCCAGGGGTAAGAGATTTAACACCAAATTAATTCAAGTCCTTTTTCTGTTCACTTCGCCTTTCCGCATTAGCACTCAAACTCGCAACTCATCTGAATTTTATTTTATACCCTGTCATTAGTCATCATACACGCCTGTGTTAAATATATAGATCATCGCGGTTAACTATACAACTTTTGCCGTTGCGGAAAGAAGCCTGAAACATTCAAGCTTATAGGTCGCGGTGACTAACAATAAACCCTTGGAACTAAGGCTATACGCTGTCTTCTTTATACAGTCGAACTTCGACTATCCGGATCACGATTATCCGGACTTGTTTCCGTATCCGACTTGTGACGATCTGAAAACGCTCGTGAAAGTGGATCAAAACGAAAACGCATACATATCGTAATAAATAGATTTAGCCAGGGCTAAAAGGGAATCTCTTTTTATTATTCAGAGTTTCCTCAAAGAAAATATAAAATCGAGTAATACTAAACAATTTCGGTGGAAAATCTCTGTCAAATGGTACTGTTATAATTATTTCTTGGCACCTAAAACAGGAACGGGATTGATTTGTACCATTTACAAAATACCGGTAAAGTTTTCGCTTTCTCTGGACAAAAGCCTGGCACTAGTAATCCAAACAAATGGTACACAAAATTTCGGTCGTTTCGGTAAAAACGGTAAAAAGGCAATATCTCGAAAGGTATCACTTTTTTTCCGGAAAATTTCCACCGGGATGAACCGTTCCATTTGAAATCTCCCCTGAATTTTCTGGTTTTCCATACAAATGGTAAGCGCTCAAGGTGAAGACAACGAGAACGGTAAAAACAACAACAATACGTCTAATTAGCAAAGAGGCAACTTTGCACGTGCAGCACACTTTTTTTTTCTAATTACTAAAAAAAAAAATTTTGCACGTGCAGCACACTTTTTTTTTCTAATTACTACAAAACAACTTTGCATGTGCAGGGCGTTTTTTTGGACATTTCTTTACCGTTGTTTTGCACGACTAAAACCTGAAACTTCTTTTAACTTCCTAGTAACACGCTTTATGGAGGAACTGTTTGTGTTTCTGTTCACTCTGTTTTTTCACTGCCGCTCATTTTCACCTCGGTAGCCGCTAGCATTTCTTATTTTCTCACTGCCACTATATAATTTTCATGTTTTTCTTCAAACGAAATTGTTCTCCGTTGTCATTTATTTCTCGTTCTAGCTCTTTCCTTGTTATCCAAGTTAATGTAGACATTAAAATTTTAGTGGAACGAAAGATTAGGGGTTTTTATTCTCCTTTTTTTTTTCTCTCTCTGAAAGTCCTGGCGGCCATGTGATTTCTCGCCAAATTGAGCGGGGTGCTTGAAGCGCAAAATTTCACCTCAGCTATAACATGCTTCTCCCCGACGGGCTGACTCCTGACTCCCTTCTCCCTTCCCCAGAGTCTGTACGGTCAACGTTCTGTCACACGCTGACGTCATAACCAAATTTTTTCGGATGGATAGGTTACCAAATTTTTTAGCTATGGGCTTCTGCTCGCGCGCGCCTGGAGTTCCGCAAATAAGGACTTCAAGATCCAACGACGCGTGTTATTATTATTATTATTATTATTATTATTATTATTATTATTATTATTATTATTATTATTATTATTATTATTATTATTATTATTATTATTATTATTATTATTAGGCTCTACTCTTTTCCTTAACTGTTTCTTATGCTTCCGTTGCTGCAGGTGTTGTTTATCGACGAGGTTCACATGCTTGATATCGAATGCTTCTCTTTTCTCAACCGAGCACTGGAAAATGATATGGCACCTGTTCTTATAATGGCAACAAATAGAGGAATTACAAAGTGAGTTATACTGGAATTTAGTGAGAAATATTCATAAGATGCTTTGTGCAACAATTCCACAAAGTAAGCTCGTACATGTAAAACTATTTTTTTTAGTACAAGGCGCTTTTTTCTAGCCGTTTGAGTGTCAACAACAGTAGGGCCATTTATACGAGGAAAAATAAGACGCGTCTTACATAAGAAGAAGCGAACTGTACCATTTATACGAGCATGTCTTATCTAACAAGACGCGTCTTAGCTAAGTCGCGTCTTTTTTTAGACGAAATGTGCCGTTTATACGGAAAGTTCGAGTCGTATTTAAGACGCGTCTTATTTTTCCTCGTATAAATGGCCCTAGTGAGAATGATTCCTTTGGATTTGAATTGCTACTCAGTGTATTTGACCTTAATGTTTCGCTTAACCGCAGGCCACGTGTATTTTTTAAAACTGCGATTGGTTCTTTTTAACTAGTTTTTTGGCTTATTCCCCCCGCCCCGACCCACTATCAATTGGTTTCATAGGCAAGGATCAGTAATTCAGTGTTGGGCAAGTTGAATAAAATTGCAGCCTTGAAAACGGCTTTACTTGCTGAAATTAGGGAAACTTCTGTCCAACTTTTGAGAAAATCCAACCCTGATTTGAATATATTGACCGCATTTCCATCCGCCTTGAAAGCCTTGTTCTCTGTTAATGCTGGGTGGATAAATGTATAGGTTCGTTAGCAATGTCGTACAATGCCTCACACAAGAGCAGGAGATCGGCTTGGTGCTGTCTATTTTCTACAACTTAATTTCTGAATACACTTCACTTGCATGTATTTTGACAACGCCTTTTTTTCTTTCTCAGAATTCGTGGTACAAATTACAAGAGTCCTCACGGCATTCCAATCGATCTTTTGGACCGGCTTTTAATTATCTCCACTTCTCCTTACCAAGAAAAGGATCTGAAGCAAATTCTCACGATACGGTAAGGGCGGAGACAACGTTTTTACACAAGATTGCATTAGGAAATCTTTGTTAGCGACCAGTCAACTCTGTTGTTTGTTTGTGCGCGATTGAACCCAGACCAAGCAGGGAGGTGTGAGTACAGAAATGAGAGCGGTTTAATTTACAATTAGAAATAGGCGTAACAGAGTTTCACCTTGAGATTGATTGTCAGTATTGTTGAACAATCCTCCATTTTGAAATCGTTCCTTCAAGAGACTGTTCACAGTCCCCTATTTTTCCGTAAGATCGTCGAGGCCGATGCCCGGCCCCTCGCCGTCCGTACCGGTAAGCGCTCGATCCTGACGATATTACGAAAAAATAGGATTCTGTAAAAAGTCTATTCCTTCAAAGTCCCTTGAAAAATTTGCCCTTCCATTACTCGTTAGTATGTATAGGAGAAGCGTGATTGAACAGTTACACAGAGCTGCCGGTAACTGTTGGTCATCGAGGAATTTCCGACTAAAATTTGCAGCAACCAGAGGTATAAATGACTGAACAGATGATTATCAATACCAGTGATTTTCATTTCGCAACTGAAGATTTGCATACAACTTTAGTCAAGAAATTATGACCGACAACGTTATTGGTTTGTCCGACGAAAATGGCGACTTCATCGGACATATCATGTCCTTTCTGAAAAGAAAAATTATTCGGTGTAGCCCTGGTTACAAGAGGGATACCCGAGTTTCTACTCTAAACCCTACTTGATCTGTTTGATTGAAGCCACTGTGCATCTTGTGGGTTTGCCATAGTGGCGGATTCAGATCTTTAAGTAAGTGGGGCTCCGCTCATCCAGTCCCGCAGATAAGAGGGACAAGAAGGGGGCCCAAAAATATTTTTTTCATGACCCTGTCGGTGGTGGGGGCCCGGTGGAGGCCCGGTGGGGGCCCGTTCCCCTTGACCCGCTACTCTGTCTATATTTATGAGAAACAGTCCCCCTCTCCTTGCAACGGAACATTTTTTCCGTGCAACGAAAGAGGGCAGTTACTTAACGTACAACGAGATATATACAGCAAAGAAATTGCCCTGTACGAGGAATGCGTTGTCTTGCAGATGTGAAGAAGAGGACGTGGAGATCTCAGAAGATGCTATTTTCTTGCTAACAAAAATCGCTCAGGAAACATCGCTTAGATACTCCATTCAGTTGATTACAGCCGCCAGTCTTGTGTGCCGGAAGCGGAAGGTAGAGTTTCATAATTGGTATCGATTATTCTTGCAACCCTACAGAACAAGTAAATTCGAGCCTCTTACTCGATAGCCTGAGTTTCGGACGAACTTTAACCCCCGGCGTTTAATAGGCCATTTCCGAATTCCAAAAACTCTCATTTTCAAAACGAAAATGAGTTTTGTTTGCATGGGAATAAAGAATCATTTTGTTCATATCAATAGCTAAACACTTATTATCATTATCATCATCATCAACATTATTATTATTATCATTATTATTTTTAATAATATTATTATTATTATTGCTGATCGTTTTTATTGGTGTCTTTTTCTAGGGTACCGAGGTAAATGTCGATGACATCAAGCGTGTTTATTCTCTGTTCCTGGACGAAGCTCGATCAGCTCAGTTCCTTAAAGAATACCAAACAGAATTCTTATTTCATGAAGAGGTAACCGAGCCTGCATCTGAAGCTATGGAGACTGAGGGTGAGATGGCGTGATTCCTATCCCAGTGTTCATTGCGTGTCTTTCCAAGTTCCCGGATCACTAACAAGCTTGTGCGGTATTCATAGACCATCATCTCAAACCTACCAGCATGGAAAATAGAAGTTTGACTGAAATTTCCATTGCTAGTATATGTAGTGGCACGAGCAAGGTTTTTTTATGTGTAGAGAGCGTTGATTGACAAACGAAAAGCAGCTGCACGGGCCTTGGGCGTCTGTCATAAAATTTTAGCTGCATAAAACAAGGATGCCTCATTTAAGACTGTCTTTGCGTGGTTATAAGCGATGAACTTCTATCTGTGTACTACTAGGATTGGTTTGTGTTGTCCTGAGCTGTTTGCAACATTTCAACGGATGGTTTTTCAGGATGTTGTATTTACTGTTTGTTACTCTGTTCAATCTCCTGTGACCTTGGTTTTTATAGGCAATAAATATCATATTTAACATTGTATGGTCTAACAAAATGAATTCCTAGGTTAACTACTAGGCCAGCGCATTCCTTTTGCTTCAACTTATTTGTAGCCGGAACAGCATATCGAAACAGCCGTAATTTTCGGGTAGGCAGTATCCGCCTTTGTAATCGTGCTATTTATCGATTATGCGTAACGCATTTCGGCATTTAACTCCTAGTTTCATTGCTTATCGTGGTGTAAAACCTGGCTGGAAATTTTGGTGGAGAAGGGATAGCAGAATCATATTTTCTTCGCAAAATCAAATAGAATCGCTGTCCCGGCCGGGTCTTTTATGTCCCATATCACTGGAGTCGGTAAGGTTCAGGGTGATGAGGCGTTCCAAGTGTATGATGACACCAGGCGTCACACATTTATCATTCTGAGAACAGCCGTTAGTGATGGAAAGGCATGTTCTTCATTATGAGTATAAATGGGCTGATTTCTCGTTTTCACGAAATAATTGAATTTGTTATATATATTTATTGGCATTGTTATTGCTTAATATCGTCACATTCAGCAGGTCTGTAAAGCGCTAGCTTTAAAATTAGACTATCGTCAGTGGCGGATCCAGCGGAGGGGCCCGCCCCCCACCCTTATTTTACGACCAAACTGATGCCCGAAGGGCCGAAAAGTATTTTTTGGAGACCCCGCCCCCCGCTCCCCCTTATCTGAAGTTCTGGATCCACCATTGGTCCTTACTCGATGTCCTAAGCACTTTCGGACTTCGTCCCCAAAGTTGTATGTATTTAGTTGGTGTGTACTGAACTTATTGATAATTTTGTGACTGTGAAGTACTTTGTTGTAAGATTTATCAGACGTTAACTGAAACCGGAGCGCCAGTGCACATTATAGGGGAGGAATGAAATAGGGGACTCCTTCATTTTCCCGCCATTTTTCCGCGCGACACTCTGTGGCAGCCGCCTGAGATTTCCCGCCAAACTAACTCGGTCAACTCGAGCACTATTGTCGACTAAAAAATTACGGTCCAAAATGCACAAATTTTAACCAATAGCTTCCAAGAAAAACCCGTTGTGTTTTAAAGAAAGAGCTGTTTACATTTCTCGAAGTTCATTAAACTTTATGTTGAAAGAAAAACACAAGGGAAGTTGAAGAAACAAGTTTAAATGTCAGCGGTGAGGCAAGCAAAATACAGTAAGTACGAAGACTTTATTGTTTGTTGTTGTTGTTGTTTTTACTGTTAGGTAGGGTAATCAAAAGTTCTTATATTAATAACAAGTTTTTTTAACAAATCTTTACTTGTCGTATAGCGATTTTGTTTAAAACAGAGCCTGTCTGCACGCTTTACGCGTGATAACTGGAAGACTAGGGGGATTAGAAGATAACAAATTAAGTTTACATCTTTTTTGTGGAGAGGGAGGGGGGAACGGGCATAGTAACGAAATATTAATGAGCATAAAACAAAAGAAAATAAAATTTGAACTAACGATGAAATTACAAACCACTACAAATCCATGTAAAAGAGGGATTCAAGAGTAGGTTTAGGATGACTTCTATAAACAGAAAGTTTTACAACTTGCCACCATGCACATAATTCTCAAATCATCTTGCATGAAGGACGTATAAATTGAGAATTGCAGCGACAATTTGCTAAAGACATAATCGCGGCACTCATGATTAGAACAACAACTGAGTCCTTTTCAACACTAAAAGAACATCTACTGTACAATTTTGTTGAAGGTTTTGAGCTGGACACGTCTACGTCTGGAACAGTTGGAGTGCATGGATCAGCAACTTCGACTAGTTCATTCCTTAGTGGGGGTTCGGCTACAGGCTTCTCTCTTCCTAGACCAAGCACGTCCTCAAGAACCGCTTCAGCAAACAAAAGTTCGAGGTTTGTTAAACATCTCTTTCGTTTCCAAGGGACGTTCCATTTTTTATCCTCAACCACCCCCCTTCCCCGCCCCCCGCCTCCAATAAGGATTACGGGTTTTCGAACAGGGGGGTTCGGATTTTTTTCTTCAGAGAAGCCGATCAAAATTGGACCCGACAAACTTTTCAAAAGTGCCTACAAAAAATAAACCCTCCGGATTTCGGTTTTGAAACGGCGCCGGCAAAAATTTGAGGGTTCGGATTCCTGTTATCTTTAGGGGATAAGAAATGGAACGTCCCCAATAACCGTTTAAGCAATGGTTAATGAACCATTGTTTAAACGGTTAAGTAAGAACCGGGGGAGCTAAATTTTCATCAAGCATTCTTTTTAACTAGATTAAAAAAGAGCGCTATTTTTATTCTTTTCAGTATTCAAGACTTGACTAGAGACTAACTGATTTCAACCGATAATTATTATCTTGTATACCAGTTAACAACAAATCGTTATACAGCTTGCAGAGCGTTGTTTTCGTGGAAGGCAGATTACTTTCGATTTCCATTAATCTTTGTTAAAGGGCTGTTTTACTGACGTGGTTTCAAACAAATTTCCAACAAATTGACATAAAACTTGTTTTCAGAAGATAAACTACACATTAATCGGCAAAACAAAAGACTTTTAATTTTTCCTACTAATGTGACTCACGGCTTGTTGTCGGTGATCTTTAAAACAGTTCAATCAAAGTACCGACTCCAGGAAGCTCCCTACGGACTCCCGCTCCGGGACCCAACGTCTTTACCTCAACCAGTGTGTCGCATAGAACTCCCAGTTCACGTCGCACACCACATGTCTCAAGTGCGACTCCTGGAATGCCACCGTCTTCTGTTGTGGTTGGTGAGTTAACGACTTACTCTTAGTTTTTTGAGACCAAATGACCCTTAAATTGCTTTTTATCAAAAATGAAAATAGAGATGGTAAAAGTGATGACTATCATTTAAAAAGTTTTTAAGGAAAAGAACTTAAGTCTATCTTGGCGACAGTGCTCGCAACTAACTGAAACTAATACTACTTCATGGCTTTAGTATGGATGGTCACACTGTGGGATTTTCTATTTGCATGTGATTACCATAATTTTACAAGAAGAAGTGCTTCGAAAAATGCTCTTTTTTTAAATGCTTACTTTTCAGCAATTGTGGAAGGGCGTGGTCTTGCAAAAGGAGAGATCGGTATGGCCAGCATTGACTTAAAGAAGCCTGAACTTGTCCTTTCACAGGTCTGTCATCAGATTGTTTATATTATCAATTTAATTTAGAGACTTTGATGACCAAACGCTTGCATTTTTGATGACCATCTAAAGTACCGGTAACCAATTACCCTGAAGACTTACATTCAGATTTGTATTTACTTTGTTATTTTGAATCTGATTCACAGTAACTTAGCTTTACTTTATACTGTTAGCTTCCTTACATTGTAAGTGGCCCATGATGGTGCTTCTAAAGAATAAAAATACCTCTTACCTTTAGTTGAAAGTTCCTTATGCTGTCAGTCACCTCTGAAGGAAGCTGTCTCCTTTTCGTCTCTTTTTTCAAGTTTTCAGATAACCAGACCTACGTAAAAGTGCTAACAAGATTGCAGATTTTAGAGCCTTTGGAGGTACATTTTGAAAATGTTTTCCATATTTAATTGTTTTAGTGTGAACACCTCATTAAACTGTGTGGGTGTTCTGCATCTTTTTTGAAACAAAGCCTCTCGAAGAATGGCGGAGTTGATTCAGTAGTCGCCAAACGCTTCGATTTTATGGGTTCTTTCATAATGCACAGCGTGCCCATCTGGTTCGCCAGCGCTATGAGTGCTTCAAGTTTGGTTGAAGAAAAATAAAATAATGTAGATATTAGGCCTCACATTAGGCCAGTTTTTGTGTTGAAGGGTCATCTCTAATCATGATTGTATCTTTGTTACTGTCAGATAATCATGCCTAATACAGCGTGTGAAAACGGAAACATGTCGACTTTATTCAAGCTCCTAAGTGACCAACTCCCATATACGAATCTATCAGCTGTTCAAAGAAAGTATTTCAATGAAGCAAAAGGTATAACGTTTGAGATTTGCATTGACCGACTGAATAAACGATAGCATTCCGAAAGTCAAAGTGCTCAGTGAACTGACCTTAGGAGAACTGTTCGATTATGCACTTGAGGTGCTTCTTATATTAATGGAAATAAAGCAAAGTATGGTCATTCAACTTCACAAAAAAAAAGCAGAAGCTCAGATCCATTTTTTTTTGAGGATCCTTCTTTTTTCTTTATTTTATATGTTTTATGGCAAAGTGGAGATACCTTATCAGGGATTGGCCTGCTTCATGAAGCCAGACTTTGGGGTCTTCAGTTGACCACTCATGCATATCCTTAGTTTATCGGCCATTTGTGCTTTCATGTCATTGACGTTTTTCAGAGCTTCATAGCTTCCTCGCATTCCATAATCTTGGCATCTTTCTATTTCTGCCCCTGATTTGTTTGATGGTGTCTTTCCTTACTAGGTCTAGAGTACGTAAAACAACTGTGCGTTCCTGAATACAACACCGTAGAAATGGAGGTGGCTTCAAAGTAAGTTACAGGCTCATTTTGAAACGTCTTTAACATGTCAACACGTATTCGAAAATTACTACTCCTCTAAGTGACAACCTTTTAATGAATTGAAAAATGAAATAAAATTCATGTGTAACATGAATTTCTTCATTTATGGTCCGTTGCTGGCGATGCATCGAAACCCTCTTCTTAGTGTTTTCCTTGCAACAAGTTCATCTAGTATATATTTTTGCGACTGTATGGCAGTATTGCCGGTCAAACGTTAAATTTATTGATACTACTCTCTCGTTAATCACTATTTCATTATTCATTTTTTTTAAATTATCATTTCAGGTATTACTGTCTGGCAACGGCTTCCGTAAGTATTTGAAATATCAGTAAATTATTGAAGCGAAGTTGCAGGAAAGTCTTCAAGTCTTGGCCTAGAATTCGCGTCGTAAGCTGAGATGCTGATTCTCAAGTATTGCCGCCTAACAACAGGTTATTGTTAAGAAACACTTACACGATATCTTATCAACAAGATATCTTAACCTTGGACGTCTTCATAAGTTCTAAGCATGGTTTTCTTTGGAAGAATCTTAGGCTTTCCTAAAATCGATTCAAGGAAGCGGTAGACGAATCCCAGCCGCACCTTTGCCAAAGAATACTGAAAAGTAAGGATCGCGAGTTTTAATCTAGTTT